GTGTAACGGTGTCTTTTGATTCATCAAATCCTTTTTCGTATCTTCATCTGGCTTTGGGTTAAAAATGATACGAAATCACCGAATCTTGAAGCTCATCTCCACTTTCCGACCTCAAAGATCGGCAAGCAACAATGCAAGGCGTTACATCTCCTCCAACCCTCTATGGATCATTCCTGAATCATCGCCTTACCAAATGGTGAACGTGATTCTGATTTGGATCAAGTTTGTGAAATCCTCAGGAAAGAGTACTCATCGTATGATAAAGTTGTTGAAGCGCTAAATGGGTGCGAGGTAAGCATGTCAAACAGCTTAATAGAGAAGGTTTTGAAAAGATCTGATAATGACTGAATTCCTGCTTTTGGGGTTTTCACCTGGGCAAAATCACAAACAGGTTATGAGCATCCCCCTGAGGTGTTTAACACCATGGTTGATATGTTAGGAAAGGCAAAGAAGTTTGATTTGATGTGGGATTTAGTTAAGGAAATGCAGCAGTTTAAGGGGTATGTTACATTGGCTACCATGAGAAAGGTTATGAGGAGGTTAGTTAAAGCTACGAGGTACAGTGATGCTATTGCAGCTTTTAGAGAGAGAGAGAAATTTGGTGTTAGCCGAGATGGAGAGGCAATTGCTGTGTTAATGGCTGCTTTGGTTAAGGGGAATGCCTTAGACAGTGTTGATCATGCTTATCAAGTGTTTATTGAGTTCAAGGAACTTATACCTCTGACTTCAATTTGTTTCGATATCTTGATGCTGTATTGGATGAAATGCAAGAGAAGGGTTGCAAGCCAAATATAGTGACTTACACCCTCGTTATGATAGCTCAATGTGAGTAAGGGGAGATTACTCAAGCATTGGAGGTTTATGAGAAGATTAAGAGTGATGGTTGTTTACCGGACAATTCATTTTATAGTTTATTGATTTCCATCCTGAGCAAGGCAGATAAACTTAATGATGCACGTAAAATATTTGAGGACATGGAAAGGCAAAATATAAAGCCAAAGTTATGGGCATATAATGCCATGATTTCTTCTGCTTGTGCACATTCGAGAGAAGAGGAGTCATTGAAATGGCTTCAGAAAATGGAATAGGATTCATGTAAGCCAGAACTCGCCATTGCTTCACTTGTGCTTCAGGAAGAATAGGATGAAGGTGCTGAACTCTGTTAAACCACATGTTTAAGAATGACCTAAGTATTGATCTTGGAATATATGCCCTTCTGGTGAGTGGCTTTTGTAAGAGTTGGAAACCTGAGCTGGCTTGCTCATACTTAAAGGAAATGGTGCTTAAGGGAATGGTCCCCTATCAGTCAACATACAAAGTGCTGGTAAAGGACCTTGGTGAAAGGAACATGGTTGAAACAGAGCAATGGATTGAAAATTTGATGGTCCAGGCAGAAGAGGGGAAGCAGAGAGTCCTGGGTGTATAAAGATAAATGCTCGTGTTGAATTATCTTACGCATTTCATTTAGAATTCAATACCTATGAAAGGAAGGTTTATTCCATTTTTATTTATTTGGGAACAGAACTGTTCCCGAGAATTCTAAAATTGAATACAGATATAAAAAGAATATCACAGTTCCCCCCCACTTCTTCCCAGTGCCTTTCTCTTGTATGCGTCATTGGACAATAGAGAATTCAAGCTAGAGCGTGTAGATAACTTTCTTGCGTTTGGCTTCGACCAACAGCCTAGTCTCTCCAGGAAATCTTCAATTAACCTACAGAGTCATTTCACCTTTATAAGGCATCAATACGAAGGAAAATACAGTAGAAAGAAACAAAACAATGGCACTAACATGCTAAACGTTGCCTTTTGCGAAGATGCCAGCTTGTGGTCAGGGAAAGAATCTTCAAATCGAAAACTCAACCAAATATAGAGGTCCAGCACCTTCA